CCACAGTGACTGTTGGGGAGGCTGCTGTTCCAGGAGCCAGGTTGTAAAATAGCCTTCCAGGAGACATGTCTCCATTTGGAGCAGGCAAATGTGCCTCTTCCTCCTTTGTCCCAGATTTTTGGGAAAATCTACTAGGGTGTAGGGAAGGGTCAAAAAGTTGCCTTACTCGATCTTACAAGTCTGTAATCACCAGAGTGGACTTTTCTAGTCCAATAGGTATCATGAAAAATGTTCTATTAAATATGGTTTGTGAATGTTTCCTTTCTTCTGCTGTGTCGGTTTGTGTCCATCTGTGGACCTCCTCTACATCCAGCAAAAGCTTAAGACTCGCTTCTCTCATGGGAGCACCAAGCGCCCAAGGTGTTGTAATCAGAAGCTAGATAAGTGCATAGTGGGGTGTGTTGAGGAATACATTGGGTGTGCTCAGGAACAGGAGCCAAAGACAAGAGGCAGAGCACCTTCAGCTTGCTGCCAGCAGACTTACACTGACAGCAAAGAGCTCCCAGGTGACCCCATGTTTGCATCTTTATTTAATTACAGTAAAAACATTAAATGGGGCTGGAGAGATGGCTCAGAGGTTAAGAGCACTGGTTGTTCTTCCAGAGGCCCTGATTTCAATTCCCAGCAACCACGTGGCTCACAACCATCTGTAATGAGATCGGGTGCTCTCTTCTGGCATAAGTTGCAGTGGAAACTCCAAGATACTAGAGATGCCGGAAGTGTGCAACATTCACGAATAAAAGCTGCAGGCTCTGAGTGGACCTGGGGCTAAGAGAGACCAACTACGTCTGTTGCAGGCAACAGCTAGAAGGCAGTCTTCTGTCTTAGTTTGAGTTACCAGTGCTGTGAAGCGATACTGCGACCACAGCAACTCATAAGGAAAACATTTAATTGGAGTGGCTCACTTACAGTTTCAGAAGTTCAGTCTACTTATCATGGTAGGGAGCATAGCAGTGTGCAGGCAGACATGATGCTGGTGACATGACCAGAAGGCAAAAGTAAGTCACTGGGTGGTATCCTGAGCATCAGAAACCTCCAAGTCTGCCCTGATGGTGATGCACTTCCTCCAACAAAGCACACCTCCTAATAGTGCTAATGCGATTGTGGGGTCAGTTACATTCACACTACCATAGCTACTGAGCTTGTTGGAGCTCAGATGGTGTCTTGATGCTACCCAGATACCACACGTGGGGCTGAAGAGTTTGGTGTTTGCTCTGTTGGGTTTCGGTCTTGCTTTGGTCTGGTTTGTCCCATTCTTCTCTTTTAGAAAAGGAATGTTTGTTCTTTACCATTGCATTTTAGAAGTGTATAGTTTTAAAGAGTGCCTTGAGACCCAGAAGAGACTTACGACTTTTCAACAGTGGTTAAAAAAAAAGCTATTAGACTGTGAAAACCTTTGAAATTGAATTTAATGTATTGTACATAATAAGATGCCCATGAACCTAAGTAGAATGTTATAGTTTGGATGTAAAATGTACCCTAAAGGGTCTTTTTTGGGGGGAGGGGATCTTTTTTGTTTGTTTTTCGAGACAGGGTTTCTCTGTAGCTTTGGAGCCTGTCCTGGAACTAGCTCTTGTAGACTAGGCTGGCCTTGAACTCACAGAGATCTGCCTGCCTCTGCCTCCCCAGTGCTGGGATTAAAAGTGTGTGCCACCACCGCCCAGCAAGGGTCATGTGTTCAAACACAGTCTTTAGCTGGTGCTACTTTGGGAGGTTATGCAACTTTTGGGAAATGGGGGAGCAAATGGAGGAAACAGATCTCTGGGGGTCAAGGCTGGTACCACTTCCTGTCCCATTTCTTATTTATTTGTTTATTTTTGTTTAGTTTTTGTTTTTAGAGACAGGGTTTCTCTGTGTAGCACTGGCTGTCCTGGAACTAGGTCTTGTAGACCAGGCTGGCCTTGAACTCACAGAGATCTGCCTGCCTCTGCCTCCCAAGTGCTGGGATTGAAAAAGTGTGCCGCCACCACCCGGCCCGTTTCTGCTTTATGATTCACAGAAACATGAGCAATCAGGTGCAGCCAAACGCTCATCACCTTGGAGCCACAGGCTTCAGTGGAGATTAACCCCGTCTCTCTCATATTTCCTGTTGGTATTTTCTTGAAGCAGTGAGCAAAGTACATAATATAGTCGTGTGATCTCCTTAATCCTCAGGTTCCTCATCCTGAGAATGGACATGATAGATCCATCTTTTCACACAATTGTGAAAATCAGCAGAGAATAGTATATAGAAGGGCTAGCCTGCTCTACAGTATAGCCTCAGGTACTGCTAGCATAGGATGATCTGCCTTCAGTGGTGTTTTACAAAAAGGAGGAGGAGAAGAAGAAAAAGGAAGAAGGAGAAGAGTATGAGGAGAAGAAAGAATACTTAAGAAGTGTGTGCCCTGCCCTGTTGCACTGTTTAATCCTCATTTGTTTGGGACTCTTGAACCCAGATGAGGTCATCTCACAAGACCCTGCCTATAGCTCATATATAGAATTCTTAGGTTATTTTCCAGCGTCAGGAGTGGCTGGCCCCCTCTAGGCCCTGCTCTGGAGGCAAAAAAACCAGTTTGGAGAGTTGTGCTGTCTGGACGGACACCTTTCTGCAGCTCCTGTGGTTTCGTTCTGGCAGCAGTTAATGACAGTGAGTACCCCAACATGAAAGGGGGGCTGACAGGTCTTCAAGCAGAGGACACGGCTAAATGGCTATGGGATTAAATACCAGCCTCACCACCCAGAGAGTCTACAAGGAAAACACATATGCAACTCAGCAACGATAATCAAAGGGCTCTAAACGGTTTGGTTGTCATGAGCCTGTAAAGGAACTAAAAAGCACCTTCAGGCCCTCAGCTTTACCCCAGCAGGCAGCCTGTCTGTCTATCACAGTATGACAGGCATGTGATGGCCCACAGAGAAGGGTCAAAAGGGGCTCCCCAGTGGGATCCAGTCATCACTGCAGCGGAGGATTCTGGAGACCACATTTCTAACCAAAATCTCATTTCCAGGATGATGTGAGCTTCCTTTTCATTTTTGAAGACAGCAGAGATAACTTCAAATCTTTGTCTGATAGAAACTGTTTGGAAAGCTTCTGGCAGTGGCGTTCTGTAGAGCCTGTGTGTGCTTGGTGAGGATGGGCCACGCTAACATTCCTACATGGTTTCCCTAGCCATATGGGACCTGGCTTTCAAATTCAGGGTAGTCACGGGTGACTTAAACAGCCAACAACTATTTCTCAACTCTGGAAGCCATGAAGTCAAGATCAGGGCTCCTTCTTGGCCCTCGGGCATGCATGTCACAGCAGCTATCAGTGTGAACCCTGAGAAACATCTGGAGATTTCCAGACAACCAATCAGGGAAGACCTCAAAGGACATGGAGGCCTCTCTCCTTTCATCGACCCTGTGTTCCCATAACACAACACTCCGCTCCATAAACAGCATTAGGGCTTGGTTTTGTTCTTTTAGAAGAAGGCACAACGTTCCCTGGCTTAACGGAGTGCTCCATCGCAGGAAAAGAGGAGAGTAAATTTTTTTGAAAGTCCGTATTTCTGCCAGTGATAAGGCTCAGTGGGTAAATTGGCCATGCAAACCTGAGGACCCAGTTCAATCCTGGAGGCCACGCAAAGATGTAAGGACAGAACTGACTCCACAAGGCTTCCGTTAATCCCATCGGGTGAGAATAAGATCACTCCGCAATTCTGAGCCAAATCTGAAGCAAGCTTGATTTTTATTGGGATGTACCAGAGACTGCTTCCTAAGTCAAGTTAGAGGAAACAACCCTGAGTGTTTCTCAGGGCCATTTTAAGGAGTAAAATCATGAGCAGTTGCAAAGCAGGTTTACAAAAGACAATAGAGCAGTAAGGAAATATAGAAAAACTTCAAAAGAAAATTCAACAGCCATCACCATGTGGTCAAAGTTATCCAGCCTAATGGAACCGGAGTTATTGATGGTTGTGAGCTACCATGGGGGTTCTGGGAAACAAACTCAGGTCCTCTGCAAGAGTAGCAAGCACTCTTAACCACTGAACCATCTCTCTAGTCCCCCACTTCCTAAAATAAAAAAGGTTTTGGTTGTTTTTTAGTCAGGTTTTTTGTTGTTGTTTGTTTGTTTGTTTGTTTGTTTGTTTGTTTGATATGGGTCAGGCAGTAAAGGATTGCATGAGATGGTGCCTGGACAGTGCTCACCAAGGTTAGTTCACCTCAGCTCCACCCTAGCCCAAGTTATCTCCAGAGGATGGGTTGTGGACCAGCGGGAGGGCACTTGCCTAGTAAGTATGGAGCCCTAGGTTCAGTTCCCAGCACCATAGCGGGATGATGGGGCAGAGGCTTTAGAAAGCAGTTTACCTTGAGATGTCAACAAGCATCTAGCAATTTCTATAATTCATAACTGTTTGATGAAGCAGAGGGAATGACCATAGTGAAATACTCAATACACCTGAAAACCTTCAAAGACAAATGGCTTGGACATGTAGCAGGTTCAGTTCATATCCATTATCCACATCCCTCTCCATTCAGCTCAAACATTGAAAGAAAACATATTTGCTTTTTATATTTCAAGTCAGTGTCACTTTTCCAAACAAGTTAGATGGGGTGAAAACGGTACAGGGGAACATGCAAAGAAAAGAACAGAAGAAACAGTGGGCAGGAATTGGGCGGGAAGATGGCCATCAAGATCACCAAAAAGATCATTAACTTCGAGACTTTATTACCTGCTAAAGTTTCCAAACGACCTCTTGCCGACAAAGCAGTAAGTATCAAGGAAGAATGTCTTGTTTAGCATGGCCATTCACAGTCGGCAAGCCTATGTTCAGGTCTAGCCAATGCGCCACAAACGTATTAGGAGTGGCAGCTCTGCCACCTTCACCCATAGTGCGGTGCTGTTGCCATTTCCAGTAAATTTCCCGAAGGGAAGGAATGCGCGAGACTATGCTGCTCGTGTGTGTGTGTGTGTGTGTGTGTGTGTGTGTGTGTGTGTGTGTGTG